AGTGTTCCTGCCTGGCACCTGCTGCCTCCTGGACCAGGGGAACGGCCGCCTTCCCTGTAGGCCGGTTGGGGGGGCTGCAGGGAGAAAGTGGACCTCGGGCCATAGTTAAAACCACGGACACCTGGACACCTGTGGTCCCGAGAGGCAGACGCCAGGAGTGTGCTCAGCCCGGCTGGTGGGCTGGGATGCTGGGGCCCACTGTGTGGCCGGCCCTGATTGCCATCATCCTCTTGTCTTGTTCCAGGGACATTCAATAAACTCTTGACTGTGCTGGGCAGTGGGACTGCTGGGTGAGTGAGAACATGGAAACCTTTCATGGTCTCTACCATGTGGCTCCTAGGAGAACTTCGACACCGAGTCGTCTCCCAGTGTAGATGTGGTTCTCAGTGGCTACCTCTCACATTGTTCAAAGCAGCCAGTGGCCTACATTCCATCTTTGTATGAACTAGTAAAGGTTGCCTGCCCCTTCCTCAAGGCGCTTTACTTCCATCGGTGCCAAAATAACCATAATAAATATGGGAATAAATATGGGGATCTTTGATGGTCATCATGTAAATGGTAGCCTTTATAGGTGCACTGTGCACAGCCTGCCCAACTGTACTTAGTGGGGCTTGATGCCTGCAAGCTTTGCCTTCTGTAGCTCCTGCTACAAGAAACTGGCAAAGAAGGGTACATTTTGTGTTCATTAAAGTGCCTTTCCACCCCACTCAGAAAACACGTCTGAAGACAGCACAGCTAGCTTGCGTGTGTGTGTGTGTGTGTGGTCAGCAAACCCAGGTAGAATCTCAGCAAGAAGGAACATTGTGCACTGAGGGAGATTCAGAGAGGAACAAGGCACTGGCATTTGCTCCCAAGGAGCCCACGGTTGATGGGTTAGTGGGTGAGAAGGGTCCCCTCAGAGGCTTGGGCCTGGCTCGAAGGCACCCTCAGGCAGAGAAGGTGTGACACTGACCGTCGTTGGGAGGGTTTAGGATGGCTTCAGCCCAGGGCAGAGAGCCTGTGAGTTGACCAGTGTTGGGGAGGGCATGGCAGGCCAAGGGAACACGGAGCACAAGGCAGTGAGGCATGAAGGGCCCACGTGGGAGCACTCGGGTAAAAGGCAAGGCCAACAGTAGAGCATTTCAGGGAATGAAAACGAGCCGGGGGTGGGGGAGGGGAGAGCTGCAGGAAGACGGGCAGTGACTGGGGTCTGGGGTGGGGGCGGATGCAAAGTGGGGTGCGGGGTGATCACTGGGGCCGGGCTTCTGGTTTCACCAGGCTGTGTCCCCAGGGACCGGGTGGCCCCAAGTTCAGCAGCATGGGACCCGCGTGGGTGCCAAGGCAGTGTCCTCATGCGGGCAGCTCCCAGGGCATTTGATGTGCATCTGGGGAGCAGGGCTGGTGGTGTACGGCCGGGAGGAGGTGGCGTGGCCCCCGGTTTCTGGGGCTGCGGCCGCAGCTGCTGCGTGTGGCCGTGGCTGTCGGCCTGAGATAGCTCTTAGATTCATAAACCAGATTCAGGAGCCTCCTGACAGTTTCTCATCTCAGGCAGGTTCCTCCCGGAGGCCCGGGGGTGGGAATGCCCAGTCCGATTCGTGGGGGTAGAGGGAATGTTATGCGCTGGTGTCGTTCGGATGAAACTAGACGTGAGCTCCTGTTTCAAGGGAGCGATGCCCGCGTTCGGAGCTCCTGCGGCTTTCCACGGTTTGCTACAAAGGCCGTTCGCTTCTGACCGCCTGGGACTTCCCTCCTACTTGTGCCTCGGGCTGCCCGGGCCCAGCCTGCCACGTGCGGGAGCTGCCCCCGCCCTGGGTGCGACCCAGCACCCCGGGATTGTCCGGGTGGGAGGCGTGCGCACGGAGACCCTTCACGGCCGGTGGTGTTCCTCCGCCGCCTCCCCGGACACGCCCAAGCTGGACGCCCACCTTGTATTCACACCTGTCCTGCAGCAGCCCACGGTCGCGATGGGTGCGCCCTGTGCTGGGCGCTGTGGGCGTCCGGGTCGTGCTGTCCAAGACCCACATCTCCCGGGGGATGGGGCACAAGAGGGCCGTTTCCCTGTTACGGGGTCTTGTCCCAGTGCCTCCCAGGCAAATACCCCGTCTCCACTTAACTGGCCAGGGTCACTGTGGGCTCGGGTGCCCAGGGGGTCCCCGGAAGGGGGAGAAGAGGGAGGGGTTGGCACGAGCAAACCCTCTTCAAGTAGGGTCGCCGTCACTAACCCGTGCTGCGTGCCTGGGCTGCGGGGGGCTCTGCCGCTAACTCCTCTCAGCCCGCAGGGCGTGGTTGGCCCTTCCCCCCGTTGTGCAGAGCAGGACGCTGAGGCTGTGAAGGTCAGAGTGACCTTGGGTCCGAGCACAGCTGGGATCTAAGCTGAGTTCTGCGTGAGCCTTGCCCGGCCCAGCAGACCAGCCCCATGCGGCCAGTGGGGTAGCGGCACTGCTCGGCCCCGGCAAGCTCCCCTTTGTGGGACATAGCTGGCACGAAACGTACAGTCGCCTGCGAGCCACACGAACCCCGAGGCAGCATTTGGTCCCGCCGAGAGTTGGGCCCGTAGTAGGGCCGCCGCCTGGAATACAGGATAAGGGGTGGGGTTGGGGGCTGCTTATGCGCCCAGGGGAGATGGGGCCCAGGACCCGCAAGGCAGGCATCCACTTCGGGGGCTGCTTGCCAGCGGCTACTCATGCAGAGGGCAGTGCAGGGTGAAAGTGGGGCACAGCGGCCGGGGCCCCAGGGAGCCACAAGGCCAGGGCCCTCCCCCTTGAGCAGTCCAGCCGGAAGAGAGGCACGTGGGCAGGCGGTCCGGGTCTGCGTCCTGGCTGGGCGAGGCTGTGGAGACGGGAAGGTGGTCGGCCGGGCAGAGGGTCCACTCACCACAGAGCCTCCACCTGCCCTCAGTTCCTACTCCCTTGTGGTTCCCCAGATCCTGGCTAAGGACCAGCCTGCTGCCATTTCTGAGGGCCGCTGACGGCTCCCCGGGGCTCCCCCGGCCCACCGCACCGCCCTGGGAATCGCCCCATCTGACCTCACGGTTCCCCAGGAGGCCCATGGCTTCTTGCCGCCTTGATATGCGAGGGCAAGGCTTAGAGATGTAGGGATCCCTGTCACCTATGAAAGGCCAGGCCAGCCATGGGACCCTGCCCAGAGGCTCCCAGGGCCCTTGACTCCTGACCCTGCTTGAGTCCCCTTTCTGACGGGCTTCAGTGGGCTGAGCCAGGGGCTCATGGTCACAGCCCAGCTCCCAGAGCCAGGGCTCCCTGTGCTCAGGGTAGCAGGCAGAGCAAGAGCACAGGGACAAAAGCCCTCCTGGAGTACTAGACCACCCTAAACCTGTCATCCCAGATTGTACGGGCTGTTGGCTGTGAAAGTAAGTGTCTGCACTCGGCCTGCCCTTTGCTGGAAGACAGGGTCACCCCAACAAGTTCCGTTGCACGCTTGTCTGCCGCAAGGCCAGGAGCTCAGAGCAGGTCAGGACACATGTGCATTCTCCAGCCGTGTCCCCCGAGCTCTCCGAGGCTCCCCTGCCTCATCTGGGCCCTGAAGAGTTCTTGGCAACCCAACACTCTGTCCAAGCGCCCCCGTCCGTTGTCCTCCTGGGGCCCCATCTGGGTCGGCTAAGCTGCTCCCGGGGGGCTGCATGCTGCGGCCCCGTGCTCCCTGCGGGCTGTGAGTCCAGTGCTGGACAAAGCTGACCTTCAGTTGTCTGTCACTTCCAGCCTGTCTCCCCGCTGCTCCCACTGTTTGCCAGCTGCGTCCCCTGGCCTGCCCCTCTGAGACCGGGGCTGCTGAATTCCTCAGGACCTCTGGCCCGCAGCCTCCCATGCATGACCAGCCCCTTAGGACCCTGGAGAAAGCCTCTCCACGTTCCCTCCCGCCCCTCCTCCTTCCCTGCGCAGTGGCCTGGCCTTCCAGCTGCCGACTTACTTCCGGGGCAGCAGCGAGTCCTGGGGGTGGGGGGAGGGGATGCCGCCCTGGGCGGTGGGGAGGGCCACCGTTCAGCCCCGGCCGGCCGTGTGGCCCGCCAGGAAGTCCACTTCCGTCCCGCGCCCCCGGGTGCCTCTGGGGGTGGACAGTCATGTGGCAAAGCGCCCTGACTGCGCGATGGGAGGCTTTGGCAGCTGAAGCAAAGTTGGAGCTTTTGCGTTTCTTTCCTTTAAAAAAAAAATGCTGTGCCAGGAGGCAGGCGGTGTGGCTTTAGGTGGTCTCTCAAGGAGGGTAACCCCTGAGCCCCCTTCTCCCTGTCCCCACGGCCCATCGTCCCCTACAGGAGGCTGTGCCGTTGGTGGCTTGGGTGTCGCCGGAGTGACCTGCCTCCTCCTGCTGGGAGCCCCCACCCCCCAGCAGCGCCCCGGCCGCCCCCTCCGCCAGCCTGCGGCTTCTCTGTGCGGGATGACGCCGCCGAGCACCAGCTGTGGCGTTGTGGCTCCGTGGGCTCCGTGGCGATGGTGGGGACACCACACTCTCTCGGACCGGGAGGGAGGGGTCGCTGCGTCTCGGCTCCGGCTCGTGCGGAGAGCAAATAGAATCTGATTTTTGAAAACCCCTTCAGGAAGAAGAAGAAGAAGAAAAACCTGCTGCCTCATTTCTCCTCTGGCCGCTTTCAGTGGGCCCCCCTGGAAGAAGCGTCGGCCGGGCGCCCTGGCAGCCCTGCCCCCCGTGGCTCCGGGCCACTTACTTTCTTTGCCTTTGGTGCCCAGAGCCAGCCCGGTGCGGCCATGGCTCGGCGGCCTCCCCACCACGCCTGACTCCTTCCTCCCGCTCGCTCGCTCGCTCGGCTCCGGCGCTGCCTGCCCCCCCCCCCCCGAGCCCCATTGTGCCGAGCCCGCCTATCCCGTTCGCCGGCCCCCCCAGCTGCCTCCGCGCCTCCTGCTCCCTGTGCTGCTTAGTTTCCTCCATGCTGCCTGGATCCGGCGAGCCGGGTGATTAACGGCCAGGATGATGAACGTTCCCGGCGGAGCACCGGCCACGGTGATGATGACGGGTTACAGTAATGGTCGCTATCCCCGGAATTCTCTCTACAGTGACTGCATTATCGAGGAGAAGACAGTGGTCCTGCAGAAGAAGGACAATGAGGGTTTCGGATTCGTGCTCCGAGGGGCCAAAGGTAAGAGCGGCTGCTGCCGGCCTGGGAGCACCCCCTGTTGTGCGAGTGTGAGAGAGTGTGTGTGTGTGTGTGTGTGTGTGTGTGTGTGTGCACGCCGTATGAAAACGCTCCCCGGCTCAGGAAGCCTTCTTCCCGGGGGCACTTGGTTGCTAGACAACCATGTTCTTTAACATATTTCGCCTTACTCAGAAAACATCGGGGCTTCCTTGAGGAATATTTTCAATTTTCTGTACACAGTGTTGCTCCAAGCGAGCTCTTGCTCTCGCTCTCTCTCCCTCCCCCCACCCTTAAAAAAAAAAAAAATATCGTGGGTTTAATGTATCTTTTGTGGTTTAGTTCAGTGCAACTGTAGCTAGATTTGGAGCTCCTGGTCTCAGATATCCACAATGACCCAGTGCTGAGTTTCGGCTGTCTAGAAACTGCCCCATTCTGGGAGTGGGCTTCGGCTCCAAGTGCGGCAGGCGTCTCTGTGTGCCCGCCTCTAAGGTGACTTTGCAAAGGAAATGTAGCAAGATGGTCCCCTCTGCCGTGGACTGAGCCGGCAGCGTACACGTCATGTGGCCTGGGGTGGGGGGCTCCGGGGACGCATTCCATGGCCGTGCACCCCCCCATCAGCCCTTCACTTGGGGGCTTCCCTTTCAAAAGAAAACAAAATGGCATCAGCTCCCCGTGAGAGGAGACATCTGTCCACCGCGTGTGTGGGTAAGCCATGTGTAAGTTTCATGTCAGAGGCTCTGCCGTGCGGGGGTCCCGCACCTGAGCGCTGGGTGGGAGCCCCACCTGCCCGAAACTCAGGCTGGCCAGGAGCCATCTGTCCAGAGAGAGAAAGGAAAGAAGAATCTGTCCCCGTGTGTGTGTGTGTGTCCATGTCCGTGACTGAGTGATGTTCTATCCCCTCCCCCTGCTGGGGTCATCTTCCTTTTCCCACCCACCCACCCCCGGCTGCTCCGAACTACCCAGGGCAGTCCATCTCTTGCCCTGGACTTTTGCTCAGCAGCTGTGTGGGGCCCACAAGCCAGGGCTCTCTCGGCCGAGGAGCGGGGCCCAGCCTTCCCGTGGGTGCTGGCCGCAGAGTGGTCGCCGGGAGCCGGGCTCCCTGTAGACAGAATTCATAAGCAGGTTCCAAATCCACAGCCACCCACTGGGTCAGCGTTGTGATCTGTCCGTGCTCCAAGTTGAATTCCCTTGGTTGCGAGTCTACGTAGCTATACATTTGGCAAGAGGTTCAGTGTGGTGTTTCTGGAGCTCTGTGTGGTTTTGGGGGGGAACTTTTCCATTTTTAGAACTGAAAATGTTTAGTCACTGATGCTTTTAAAGAAAATGACAGGCGTGTACGTATAGACGCGCACAGCACATTACTCGTGGTTTCAAAAAGGCCAAGAGACATGGTAGCACCAAGCTCCACTTGGCTTCGTGGCTCGAGTTGGTGCTGGCCCATGACTGAGTGGCAAGCCCTTCCCAGGGGAGAGCAGGCCCGAGCACCCACTTCCAGCGGGAGACACACACACCCCCTTTCTCTCAGGGGTCCGTGAGGGGCCGGGGCTCCCCACCCGGAGACGTCACCCAGGCTTGAACTGAGGTATCCCTTGTCTTCCCAGCCGATACGCCCATTGAAGAATTCACGCCAACGCCGGCGTTCCCAGCCCTGCAGTACCTGGAGTCCGTGGATGAAGGAGGGGTGGCGTGGCAAGCCGGACTGAGGACCGGGGACTTCCTGATTGAGGTAGGGACACGGGTATTTGTACCTTTCCGCTTGGGGAGAGCGCCGCCTCTCTTAGGGTTAGGGTCCGTGGTCTTGGCTCGCGGCCGTGGAGCCAGATCTAGGGGGACTCACGGAGGCTGCCGTGGACCCACGTTCATGGGTTGCTTCCTGGTCCGTCCACTGGGGATGCCGTTTCTGGCGGACTTATGCGTTTGGACTGTCTTAAGGCCTTGGCTGTGACTCTTGGGAGGTGGAGATGTTCATGGAAGTGGCCGTCAGTCTTGAAGTAGAAGATAGAAGGAAGAGACACGGGATTGCCACGATGTTGCGTGGGGTTCACTGGTAGCTGTAGGAGTAGACACCGGTTGGGGCTGTTGCCCTTCTCGTGCCTTAAGGGCTGGACGGAGAGCGCTGTGCTGTGGCTCTTGTTTGCTTGAGGTCTGTAACCTTGGTGGCTGAGAGACCGTGACTTGCAAGTTGCAGTGACTGGCCCGGCAGATGCCGGCCTTCAGGGACCAAGGAGCCATGTGCGAGAGGCACACAAAGGAAGTTACGAAATCCAGATGCTTTGAAAACCGGCTTTCGCTTGAGGTGAAGGGAGGAAGCGTTCTCTTCCTTGAATGAACCCGGTGAGACACAAGTGCCCGTATTTCTTGAGCTTGGCTGGGGTCAGCAGTGTGGTGTGTGCAGGTGTCCGAGCTCCCAGCACGTCTGAGCTCCCTGCCTTTGGCGGGTTGTGGTGTTACTTTCAATCTTGTTGTGCAAAGGAACGTGTTACTCTTTGGAAACATTAAGAGTGAAAGAGCACGTCGTACCCTGGGAAAACTATTCGTAAAGGCTTTGGTTTGCTCCGGGGCCCTCCTGGGGACTTCACGTTTCTTAGGAAAGCATCCCTCGACGCTAACCCTGAGCTGGGTCTCGTCTGCTCTGGAAATGCACGTACGGGTGGAAAGGAGTGGGGACGGGGAGGCCCCGCTACTGGGCCAGCCGGACACTTGCTCATTCTGAAGACCCAGACCCTCGCGAGCCAGGCACTGGAGGCCGGTCTCCCCATTCTGCCTGAGCTTCCCGGGGCGCTGCTGAGCTCAGGTTGGCTCATGATCTCCTTGGGGCTTCTCCAGCCTGGTGGACCGAAGGAGATCCAGGAGAGAGACGTTGGAGGGGAGCGAGCCAAGGAAAATGGAGAAGGTGCTTTACCTTCTTCCAGGTATCTTGTGTTGGTCTCGCTTTTGTTTTCTGAAAGCTACATTTAAATTCTTCCTGACCCATCAGAGCCTGGTTTGGCTGACACCTTGGGTACATTACCCAGAACGGAGGAGACCGGAACCTGCAGTGCTCTCGTGGGTTAACTCGATTTGTAACCTCACAAAAATGCAGAGACTGGTTGAATCATCTTCTGTAGGATGGAGTTGTGATGTAAGTCTCCTCACCGTGTGTGCGCGTGCGTGTGTGCGTGTGTGTGTGTGTGTGTGTGTGTGTGTGTGTGTGAGAGAGAGAGAGAGACAGACAGACCCAGGGACAGAGGCTCCAATAGGTTGACACAGGCAAGGCTGGTTCTTGGTTTTAAATAATAAATGAAGGCTGCACGTGCAAGTGTGTGGCCCGCTGTTGGGCTCACTGGAGGGCTTCCTCGATGAACTAGTCAGTAAAGGAAACAAGGGAGCGCCTCGGGGCGCGCGTTGGGCCCACCCCTTTCGTGGGGAAGCCAAGCTGCACGGGGTTGGTGGACGCGCCCTCAGCGCACACCCGGCCTGGGTGGAGGAGGCCGGCCACCCGCTCCGATGGACGCCCCCGTGGAAGTTGGGGCATGAAGGGTGCCTGTGCTTCTGCTGCCAAAGCATCTCCTTGGACGTTGCTTTTAACCTCTGATGTGCAAATGCATTTGCCATTTGGGGACAGGTTTACGTCCGAGGTAACCTCCAAATTCTGGGCTTCTAGGAATGGCGGGCCCTGAGATGCAGTAATGCCGTGTGGGCATGACTGTGTCCCAAAGACCCGCAGGAGGGCTGAGCCCTTCACAGCCACCCTGGGCTGCTTACTGGGACCCATAAGCAAACGGGGCCAGGGGGTTGGACCCTTGGAAGCCGGCCCCACCCAGTGCATTTCCAAGGCGACTCCGGGAACTCAGAAAGTCTCCCTTAGGTGCTTGATGAGACTCCGTGGCTGCCTTCTCCTCGCTGCCGGACTTCACCCCTGGAGAAGCGAAATCACTCACAGCCTTAGAGATGCGTCGTTTCCCAGTAGACGTTTTCCACATTTTCCGTTGAAAAGCTTCAACCTTGGGAGGGGCGTTCTCCATGAACGCGTGGGTCTCGGGTGAATCTGCATTTTGGCCAGAAGCCGTCTCTGGAGTTGACGGGGTTTCCGAGCCTTGGTGAAGCGCGGGGTCCCGTGGGCAGAGGTCACCAGGGCAGGCCGACTGTGTGCCGTCGCCCCGTATCCCTCTGGGCCGGCCTCTGTCTCTCGCTGCTCTTGGAAGGGAACTCAGAACATGTCAGTTGTTTACATTCCCTTTAAAAACACCGCAGCTTGGATGTGGAGACCAAGGGACAACTTTGGATGTGGATGTTCCCTCTTCAGAGTCCTGAACCCCCCTGAACTCCCCTCCCCCTTCTCGGACTTGGTCATCTTGCTGGCATCACCGGTGCCTGTCGTGAAGGGTCTCCTGTCGCATGTGCTTTTCTTGGGTGCTTACCCTCGGACTCTGTTCCTCCTGCCTTAGCCCTGGGGAGGACTTTGCTGCTTTGTTGTTGGGACTGTCTCTTTGCTGACCATGCCGACCGACCATTGGGACTGTCTCTTTGCCGACCGCACCCTGCTTCTGCCGCAATGCAAAAATTTCGAGTCCCTTGTAAAAGGTTCTCATGAAACCAGGAATTGCAGTGAGATCAGTGGGTCCTAGTGCACCAGTGACTTGCCATTAAAATTCATTTTAGAAGTGGAGAAGGAGGAGTGGGCACTTGAACTTGGGGGCCCCATAGACCATGTGTATTTACCACTTTCAGATCAGCCTGATTTGCTGGAATCCTCTGGATGGTTGGGGCTGCTGGGGCTTTCCCAGAGAGTGTTAGGAGGCAGGGAAGTAGGGGCAGAGCCCTTCCGGGGAGAACGATGCTTAAAGAGAAGTGGGTCCCAGTGGCCGTGACAGGCCAGGGGGAGAAGTGAGCAGGGGAGTCGGAGCAAGGTTTCCTTTCCCTGTACATCACGTGTAAGTTCGGGGACTCCACCAGCCAGGAATGCTAAAGGCCCGCATCCCTTTTGGTTACAGCAGGAAACCCAGTGCGAACTGAGTTTAATAATGATAGAAGCTTGTCAGAGAATTGAAAGCATAGAATTTAGGGGGAGAATCAGCCAGATTGTTAAAGACATCCTCTGCTTCTTCCTGGAGATCTTCTTGGTTAGGTCTCCCCACTCCCATGAGATAGGGCAGGAGAGGCCACTCGTGAGCAGTCATAGGAGGAGCTGGATGCATCAGAGACGACAGTTTTGCATCCAGTAATCAAGGAGACATGGAGGATTGGGGATGTCTCTTCGGTGACCTGCAGGTCGGGCTCACCCAGTGACACATGGCTGGGCATCAGAGCCACTTGTCCTTATTTATAGAGAGACTCGGTAGCCAGCCCACACCTTCGGAGTCAGAGTCTCGAGGCAGGAACTTGGGTGTGACGTCTTTAGGGCACTTGGGTGACACCGCCCAGGGTTCTTGCATCAGGCACGGTGATGACCAGCTGGCCTGATCGTGTTGGCTTTCTGAACCTCTTAACTGCCATTCTGGCTGAAGGACAGAAGCAGGTCCTGCCCTCGTTTCCTTGTCGTGACACGGGGCTGTCTTCCTTCCCCAAGCTCCCCCTCCGGAAACCCAAGTTTTACTGCTTCATCACTTTCTTAAACAAAAACATCCTCCATCTCCAGAATGACTCCGAATTCAACTAAACAGTAAACCTCAAAAGGACAAATGCCATTCGCGACCAACACAACCAAGGCCCATGTCCTCATTGATAATGACTGAGGGTCTATCTGCCCAGGCACCCCACAGTCCCATCTGACCCTCTGCATAAGCCCAGAAAGTGGTATCTATTGCCCTCCCTGTGTTACCGATGAGGAAACCGGGCCCAGAGCGGTGAAATCAACTTGCCCGGCATCGTGGACCGGGTGAGTGGAGACGCTGGGGTTCCAACCGGGGCCGCCTGACTCCATAATGCCAGAGCCCAGAGAGTCACGAGTGACACTTCGATGTGGTCGATGTCTAAATGGGCAGAGGGGAAGGAGAAAAACAGATGATGAGCTGCCAATTCTTATTTTCAAATTAGCAAATGCTTTTTTTTTTTTTTTTATTACTATACCCGTCGCCGGTGACAGTACTCCTATGTCGCTATGTGAAAGAATAAATCTCCATCAACTTTTTAGAAACCGCTGTGACAGTATGTAGTCAGAGCTGTAAAGCCACATCAGGGGTTTTTACCTCTAGGAATCCATTCTGAGGGAACAATCTGAAAACAGGCAGAGCAGAGACCACAGAGAGGATCAGGGGATGGGGCCGCAGGGAAATGGTGAAGGGGACCTCGGGTGTCTGTCGCGGATTCCCGAGAAAGCATTTCACAATGAGGCTTGCAAGGAGTTCTCGATACTAATGAGAACTGATCACCTTCTATCAGGTGAAAAGGGCAGACCCAAGATTATCTGCACAATACCATCTAAATCATACCACCTCTCCCCAAAATAGGCCTTGGGGTGGGTGGGGGCGATAGGAAAGGAACCGTTAACCTCTGGGCGATGGGATCGTGTGTGATCATCATCTCTTTTTTCAGACCTTTGTCTGTTTCTCAGATTTTCCAGAGTGACAGCATTTGCTTTTCTGACAGGTATTAATTTCATAAATAGAAAGTTATTCCCTCGGAGAAGCTGTCACACGCAGCTGAGTGGTGTCTCAGCCTCCGTGGCCAAGGTGTTGCTGTTTGCTTTCGGGACGAGAACACTTTTCTGGGTGTTAATTATTTTCCTGGGGCCATTGCTCACCAACC